AATTAAAACTGCCATCCACGGCGTGTTCTGGAGATCCCGGATTTATTTAACCCGAAGTGTGTTCCACTCCCATCTCCAAAGCACCCGTATCCCTGAGAGAGAGAGAACTCAAGCTCGAGTGACAGTCGTGGCAACTGTAAGTCGGCGGACGGCTGCACTTGTATGTGCTTCACACAAATATTTTCAACGTAGACATTTAAAAATCATACTTTATATTTGACTATTCAGAACACAATGGTTACTGCATTTACCACTTGCTTTAAAAGCGAAGAGAGTTTATTAATGGGTTTCGTATGATCCTGAGAATAAATAACATTAACTGGTCGGTCTTTGTACTGAAGATTTATGTTTTCTGTGATGCAGAAAATGAATTATTAATCATCATTTAATTGAATTTCAGGTTTAAAAATAACTGGAAAACAACATATTATATACAATACATACATATTATATTATACGCAATTGTAATTTACATTATTATGAAAATCTACAAAATAATTTGTTGTCATAAAGCAAGTCTCTATATATGCCTTACTCATTTTGCTCTGTAATATTTCAGAATACTAAACCATGAGACTTCTTAGGCCTGTATGATGCAACCGAACACAAATAGTTGCGCAAAGCGTACACTCCCGACACGCATGTTCAGCTATCAAAAATGTTGTACCGAAGAACATTCTGACCACTCATTTCCAATTAGTGCCGAGGTCAAGAAAACATAGACCTATACATCCAATCCCCCATATGTCTTCATGGCGTTATGCTTAGTTAGTTAGCACAGGGACAACTTTACCTTACGTAGTAAAGGTTTCACATACAAGAAAGTACATGGAATGTCTCTGTACAGTAACAACTTACCAGTCTGTTGGTCAGTCGGTCTCTGTACAAGCAGTAGTTGCGCGGCTCAAAGAGTCGTGAGACAGATAATTATTGTCAAGGGTCCCGCAGGGACTGTGCTGGCAAAACCAGCGCCAATTGACTCTACCGACCGATTTCTGCACAAATATTCTTCTCTATGTGAACAAAATAACGTCGATACCAGAGAGAAATGAAGCCCATCCATCACCTTATGGCCACATGTGTGATCGACATTTGCTGTCTCACGGTGACAGTAAGCATGTTCGTTATATAAATGTTTATCGAATTGATGACGGCTGTGAAATATACAATTCAGAAGTTCTGGCCGATCGCAGTGTTAGTCTAGCTAAGGCCACATGCAACATATTGTCACGTGTTACCTGGTAACCTACTTCTGTCTCCTAGGTAACGCGACGAATAACTTCACGTAGCCTTCGGATTCAACGATTACTTATTGAACTCATTCATCCACACTTACTAAGAGTCAGGAATACAATTACTGTCACTTGCAGTATCACAACTACTGCCTTCTGCGGCTGCGACACCTCAGCTGTTCTTGGCCGTGGCTGGATCTCAACTGTCTTCAACTGCGACTATCCCAAGACTCCCAACTTATACTCAATACTCAATCCTTGCTGTCCAAGTCCAAGTCACATTGCGATTGACGGTCAGTCAGCCGAGCCCCATTTGGGGGCTCATGACCAGATATTTATTACTGTTTGACAGTTACGGTCTTGCTTTCGTGGGGTGCCCTCTCTGACGAGAGGACGAGTCTGTCTTTTACATATGCTGCTGGTCCTTGCCAGCGCAATCTTTCTCGGGTCCGAGTCCCTTGGAGCTCGCAGCCATATTTTACTGTCTCAGATTTGAGACTTCCCCTTTCGTCGCCTCTACGACTCGCAGGGTCACGGTGGAGGTATTCGACCCCGCCTCCACACGGGATGAATAGTGTTCCCGCTCCTTATATAGGCTAGGCACGGACCACATAGAGAACACATTGCTGCTCGGCAAAAGATATGAGGTATTGTTGTCAGGTGTGTCTACCTACGCATTGCCTTG